AACACATTCTGCTTTCTTTAGCTGTTAACAGATACAAAATTGGTGTGTGTGTGTGTGTGTGTGTGTGTGTGTGTGTGTGTGTTTTCCAAAGAAATAGCAGGAGTCCTCCCTTCAGCTTTGCAGGAGCAGTTGAAAATCTTTAAGCAGGCTTTTACTTGATCTTATTTGTAGGAAAAAAAATGGAAAAGTGCTTATAGCTCTTTCATTTTTTTTTTAAACCAACACCTCAGAGTGATAGTTTCTGACTTTGACTACACACTGGAACCATGTGCCCTCTCACCCCCTTAAGTCTCATTTAAGTGGTTTGGAGGAAAAGCTGGAAAAGCTCCTTTGGTGATTTCAATCACTGCTACAGTGGTGGTGGCACAGCCCCATGGACAGTCCTTTCTTGGCATCAGCAGCAAACCATTGGGGAAGAAACTACGCTCGGCTGTAGCAGCTCCCAGACTGCTTCTGCTCATAAACTCTTGCTATGTCTCTACCTAAAGGAAATGCTGAACATAGGGCCCTCAGAGTTACAACATCCTCGGTCCAAACCTCCCTTCTACCACTTCCCCCCCCATGGAGCTCAGAGAAAATCACATCTGATCTTTGATTTCATCTTGTACAAATAGAAGATTACAATAATTGTAGCCCCTAGGCTACAGGAGATGCCAGATTTTAAGCCCCAGCCCTTGAGAGGTACACGATACATCCAAGTGATGATTATTACTGTGATGCAGTGAGCTCATATCAGAGGTATATTTGTTATTTTCTGTGTTGTTGTGGCTAAGTACTTGCTAGGAGGCAACTTAAGGGGGGAAGGATGTCTGGATCTTCCAGACTCACAGCAATTCTCCTGCCTCTGCCTCCTGATGACTGGGACTGCAGACATACATGACTAAGCCTGGTTTAGAATTCCACATTTTTTTCTTGGTCTTTTTGAGACAGGGTCTTCTTATAGCCACAGCTGGCCTGAATTCACTATGGAGACCAGGCTGGCCTTAAACTCACAGATATCCACCTGCCTCTGCCTCCTGAGTGCTGGGATTAACTTTTTAGAAAGCAAAATTATCCTCTTCAGGGAGTTCTTCTCAGTCAATTTACTGTATCAAATGGGTGGAGTTGGTTTTCCCAGAGGCCACTGATCTTCAGTTACAGCAGAGCCATAAAAAAGCACCCTTCTTACCTCCCAGCAGTCAGCTAAACCATAATATTTTTGATGCAATGACATCTTTGAGAAAGGCCAGAATGTCTAAATTGCTGATGATACCTGGCCCATTGCCCCAAGAAGAGAAAGAACCAGAAACAGTATATTTACAATGTTGAAGAGATTTATTAAGACCATCTTTGTTTATCTCTAATGTCCAAGAACAACTCTGAAGTCCAAGGAGACCTAGAATTCTGGAAGATTTTTTTATATTAGTTATCTGATGAAAGCATCATAAAGATTGAGAAAGTTCCCTTTTGCCTTTATTTGGCAATTGTGTGAAGAATTTTCATCAGTTAAAAACAGAAAAAAAGCAATTTTGAGAGAAGAAAGTCTAACATTTATTTTTCCCAGTGCTAACAAACAGCACAGCTTTCATTCTGCACCAGCAGATTTGCCTGGCTTTAAGTGGGTTTATCTTCTGAAGTTCATCCTGAACTTTCACAGCTGGACTAAAAACAGCAGAGAATATGAGAACGAACCCTGTGATTTCCATTAGAGCTTACTGTGTGGGATGTCAGTGGACAAGGCAGTGGAGGAGGCTCTGAGACATTCACCTGCCTAAGAGTTAAGCATCTATTAGGAATGCCCCAATAAATACAGGTTGAATTACATTGATGTCAGTTGAGTTACAAAAGGGCTTTCCATTAAAGAAAGAGGTGTGTGTGTGTTTGTGTGTGTGTGTGTGTGTGTGTGTGTGTGTATGTGTTATCAGGAATTTTCTTCCCTGAAAGAAAATAATTTTTTCATGGTTTATGTGAAGACAAGTCCTTGAATCTTTCCTGTCCTTCCCCCAGAGTCTGTGGCTTTTACAGAGTTATATGTGGTCTTACGGGAAGAGACACTTAAGCAAAGTGTATCACATGGTCCCATGGGAAGAGATGCTAGAGCAAGGTGTATGTTTTCAGCAAATGTTTCCAAGGCTGTCTTAGCTGGGCTGGGCTTGAGAGCATATTTCAGGACTCTCCGTCCTTATGACCCTTGCCACTGCTTTAAACTTGAAGAATTGAGCTCTGTTATCAGCTCCATCTCTGTTTAGCTCCAGAATTAATTGAATTGTTTTGCAGAAAGTGAAATGGAGGAATTTTATCAGTGAACTTTGTAGAAACTTTACCCAAAAAAGGAAAACCAAATGCTTTGCCGTGCTGTTTTGTAAGAGATGCAACAAATTTTGGGCGTTTGACCTTAAAGATATGTCACTGAATAAAATGAAACTGGTCTGTTATTTCTGGAACAGAGGGCTCTTTTTTATTTTCTTTCTTTTTTAAACTTAATTATTTTTGCATTTACCAATTTAATGTGCATTAGTGGAGGTAAGAGGACAGCTTGCAGGAGTCAGTTCTCTCCTTTACCATATGGGTTTCGGGGATGGAACTCAGGTAGTTAGGCTTGGCAGCAAGCACCTTTCTTTCTGACACATCTCCCCAGTCCTGAAATCCAGGATTCTTGTCTAGTTCTGTATCAGGTAGAGAATGTCTATTCATTTAAAAAATTTTTAAAAAACATTTTTTAAAATTTATTTTTATTTTATGTGTATGTTTGCCTGCATGTATGTAAGTACATTACATGCATGCAGTCAGTGCCCATGGAGGTCAGAAGAGGGTGTTGGATTCTCTGGAACTGGAGTTACAGATGGTTATTAGCCACTATGTGGGTGCTGGGAATTAAACCCCTCTGCAAGAGCAGCCAGGGCTCTTAACTGCTGAGTCATCGCTCCAGCCCCACTATTAGTTTTTAAGGTTTCTTTTTCTGATTACAAAATTAATATTTGCTCTTTGGAAGCAATGGAAAATACAGATGGGAAACACAAGTAAATACAAAACATTCTAGTCCACCACACGGAGAAAAGCACTGTCAATAATATTATAAATATTTAAAAAATAACAATAATTGCCTTTAAAATAATAGCTATTC